TCATTATCTCTTTATTGAAACGAATAAAGAGAACTGTCAGTATGAAATACTCTTGATATCTTTTTGCCATTGCTTGCATTCTGAATGATATGTAGGGCAGCCATTTTCTATATTAACAATAGGATTGGTGTGGTTTGTACACTATGCGGTTGTTAGTCTCACGCCTATTATTATTATTATTGTTCCCTTGGATTCCTAGTGGAACATAGGGCTTCAACTGCACGTATCCACTTGCTTCTGTATTCTGCTGTACTTTTCACCTGCACCCAAGTTAATCTATACTGTTTCAACTCCTCTTCACATGATCTCCTCCATGTCACACTTGGACGTCCCACTCACCGCTTCCCTTTCCTGTTCCACTCGAGCTATGGCCTGACGTGCGATGTCACCCAGTGGCCTCCTCAGCGAGTGTCCAATCCATCTCCACTTTCTCCTGCATATTTGTTGAGCGATTGGTTATTGTTTTGTTTGTTCCCATAGTTTCTTGTTGGTGATTCTTTCCAGCCATCTGATCTTCAGTATAGAGCGAAGAGAGTTGTTGATAAAGGTCTGCAACAGGCTGTTGGAAATATTCTTACTGACCCACCAAGTTTCTGATCCATCCGTATAGAAGAACTGACTGACTTGACGTTTGTATTGAAAATCCGAATCACTTTGTTGTTGATGCAGGCTGAGTGACAGCGGAAGATTTCCAGATTGGTTTCAGGTTGATGAATGTGTTTCTCGCCTTCCCGATTCTCGCTCAATTTGACATCTTCGTCCGTTCCTCTTGTAATCGAGACAATGCTGCCTAGATAAGTGAATGAAGTAACCTCTATCAAATCCCTCGTGTTGATGGTGATTGGCGCTGGATGTTGCTGCTGTTGCTGTTTTTGTTAGTTGGTTATTTTCATAACCTCCGTCTTGTCTATGTTCACCTGGAGTCCTGTCTTTGCTGCTTCTTCAACAAGTTTGTCGGTTTTCGCTTTTAAGTCTTCGATTTTGTGTGACGTCAAACATAAATCATCCACGCACGAAATCCAGGTCTTCTAGGTTCTTCACGTCGGTCCAGGATATCCCTGCCATCTCGTTTCCCACTGTCTGACGCATGATCCAGTCCACCATAATTAGGAATATCATTTGTGATAATGAGCACCCTTCTCTGACTCCTGTGTTTACTCCAAACGCCTCACTGAGTTTTCCGTTGTGGATCACTTGACATGTTCCGTTGTCGTAGAGCTGTTGAATAAGGTTGATGAATATTTGGGGTACGCCGTAGTACTCGAGTAGTTTCCAAATTACTTCGCGGTCAACGCTGTCGAAGGCCTTCTCAAAGTCTACAAAGTTGAGGTATAGATTTGATTGTTTAACCTTCCCTCTTTTCTTGGCTTGCTACTGGATAATAGGCTCGATGGAATTTAGGTGTACGCCAGCCTGGATGTGAACCCGGACAGCGTGCATTGCTGCTAGGCATTGCATCACTGAACCACTAACCCACTGACACTTGATATCAACCTGTTCTAAATGTTCAGCGTTTTACTGTAAATACACTTCATTTTGAGAAATTAATGAGAGAGATAGTTAGAATAATGTTTTTAGAAGAGGGAGATTATCTGAAAAACAATGTGATCACACATTGCGGGTAAAATTTATTTTGATAAAGTCTCATAGTGTTATGCAGTAATATTTACTGATGACATTTCGAGCACAATTTATTTCTGCTCATAATTATATCAAAGTACTATTCACACAACTTTCTAACTTCGTTTATATAATTTCATCATTATTTTCCATCGCTTGACTTGATTGGTAGTGGTATTTTCTATATCTCTGGTATTGGTGATGAGTCATTCCTATTGTAGGTGTTGGGTGTAGACTCGATGAACCAGACAGGATTCAGTAATCAACCCCCCTCTCTCTCTCTCCACCTACCTAAATTACTTCTGAAAATTTTGAACCTGTCCCACTCTATTGTGTGGTTGTGTGCTAATGCATGCATTGCTATTGTTGAGTTTTTTTCTAAATTACTCAACTGTCTTCGAAGAGTCAATCTTTCTAACCTCAGTTAAATTCATATGTTCCGACAACCTGACTATCCTCGACCTACTAGTTTGACCTATGTGGTTGACTTAAATCACAGTCATTGCAGGGTATTTTGTAAATTATATTATTCTTTCTGGCTGGGTCAGCTGACAGGGTCGTTTAAACCTTCAGAGCTTGTCCTACCTGAGCGAGTTTGTAGGTTTGAATGCCACTCTAATTCCTGCTTTATTAAGAATCTTACGTAGGGTCTCATTTGTCCCCTCCTTATATGCTAGAACTGTAAGATGCCTTATATTCTCTCTTACTTATGTTATCATTATTAGTTTCCGCATTATTTTTATTTTGCTTTTGACCCCTTTTTTGATATTCCTAATGAATTTTATAGGATAGTTAGTTATTTGACACCAACCAGTCATTCTTCTATCTGTTTCATTTCATTATTTAGGTCTTTTTTGTTCTTTTACATGGATAGCATTAATAGAAGAGGGGGATTATCTGAAAAATGTGATGTGTTTGCGTGATACATTTCGAACAGTCTGATCCCTCCCTCACACGCTTACTTGTCAAATCAATTTAAACGAAAAAAATAAATAAAGATCAATTAAAGCACACAATGTGACAAAAGGTATTTAAGAATAATTAGCCGTACGTTCGGTTATGTAATCATATAACGATTACCAAGGTAGGTTAATAATAATAAGAAATGATAATTACATTTCAATAGTTTACACACAATGATAGATAGAATAAGAGACTTGACAAACGGGTTCTGATTACAGAGTTTGAGGTTGTATTTACGAATTGCCAACGCCTCCGTCATACACAAATGCCGAAACCTGACACCTTTTGTACCATTTGGCCTCACCTTGTAAATAATCTTGAAATATGACTGTGGCGGAGCTGAGTGGCTTCAGTTCACCAAGTGCTCGAGAATTGAGCTAGTAACTTTCCTGCCTTATCCTTTTGCTAACATTTCCGGATAATGTTCAGAGATGCGTTTAGAAAGTGTGTGCTTTCTGCGGCCAATATAACTAGTTCGAGGGTTAAGCTATTCTTATTCTATAAGGGGATTAACCTCTTCACTACTCATTTCCGGTATTTTTAAAAAAAATTTTTATTTTAATGATTAATTTGCTTTTACTTTAAAAATTAAAACACAAAATAATTGAGCAAAGAATATCCTTTTCGATAAATTCCTCTTCTGGCTCTACAATTATATATGCATGTCTATGTACATAGAATATTCTAGAATAGTAGTCAAGAACAATATTAGTGTTTTTAAATAATATCGATTAGTAAAGTGAGATCACAATGGAATTACAGTTCATTTAAGATGTTTAAATAATAATAATAAAGATATAATAGCAAATAGAATACCAACTAAAATTAGGAAAATTCCACAAAAATTCAGGATCATTCAAACCTAGATGGCTGAGGTAAGGACAATGTCCGAAATAGCTACTTTTGGACGCACAAATTAGGCTTCTTAACATGGAGCCCGACAGTCTCAACAATATTTACTTAACGAAATCTTAAAGCGAAGTTAAGATTTGTTGGTATGCGGTAAATGACTTCGAAAGCTGCCTCATTGACATCAATCCTGTGTTCTGTATCCACAAGATGAGATAGAACACGGGTGATATGAGTGTATTTTATTTGTCCTTCACTTAACCACTATGCACGGTGATGTTTGGAAATTCGACGAAGAACACGCCTAATAATTAATTCATTACTATCACCGTCACATGTTCCTTCTGCACAAATCCTCACCCTCTCCACACGTGTTAAGTGGACAGTCAACTGATACTTCTCTTCTCACTACTCAATAACAATTTTAACCTTAACAAATTTCTAGCATTTTCTTCCTTTGTGCCATTGAGTACTACGTAATTTACAGCTTTTATTTTTCTTTACATCTAAAGCCACTTCAAGTACAAGAGAAATTTAGTAAGGAAGGACCCTCAGCCACAGAGTTAGAGCTATATGCTCAGAAGAAGTAATTGAAGATGAGTTAAGCATTGTATATGATACTTTGATCGAAAATGGCTATCCCGAGAAATTTATCAAGAAACATATGACAAAGAAAGCGGAAAAGGACTACTCACTGTCTGTAAACAAAAAGCCTCTTTATATACGACTACAATTCATGGGCGATATACCAAGCGAGATAATTAAGAAGAAATTAAGAAAATCAGTTCAGAGAGCTTTAAATGCTGGCGAACTACACATCTTATTCTCTACACGACCGATGGTGATTCCTCGACTGAAAGATGAAGTACCTGGACTAAGCACTTCAAATTGTATCTATCAATTCAACTGCGCTTGTGGAGCGAGTTATATCGGCCATTGCTCTAGGAACTTGATTTTTCGTGCTCACTCAAGAACATCTCCCACTATGGCTAAGTAAAGGTGTAGTTAAAACTATTAACAGCTCGATATTAGACCATCTGGTGCAAACCGGTCACAAAGCCAGCCAGAGTAGAAGAATGCTACTGTATAATATACGGGGTGCCTAACAAATTAGCAAAATCGTCGAAGCAGAGCATGCTCCAAACAGCAGAGGCTATTGCAATTCGCTTCAAACAACCAGTGATCTGTGTTCAAAAGAAACAAGTCCAGCCCCTACTACTGCCCTGGTCCTCAGTAGAGACTATAAACTGATGAATTTGTACTATTATCTTACATAATTCTTCTGACATTCAGCTTATTTTATGTTGATGCTGTTCAGCTGTAATCTACCAATATTAGTGATTTTATTTTATTTAAACATTAATGTCGTTCATAAGACTAATTCATTCATTCATTATAATGTATATATGATTGTAGAGCCTGATGATGAAGTTATCGAAAAGAGTACTCTTTGTTCCGTGTTCATTCTTTTGAAAATCTTAATGGGCATTTTTAATCAGTCAATTGTACAATACACTATATAGCATGATCAAATGAATGAATGAATGAATTAATATTGGTTCACTTACTTGCCCATCCTATTGCACATAGATAAACTAATATAGCTAAACCAAAACCGAATGATACACGTTCTGAGGCTAAATAGAAAGCTGCTGTCCTTCGTGGCATATCAGGCAGTAATCCACTCAGTACACCGTAAGAACCAAATATCGGTAAGATACAGAGACATGCTATCACCAGGAGACTGGATGAACCAATAAGAATTTGATGTTTCAACACTTTCCGCTTAAGATTAAAAATCAGAGAGAGAGAAAAAATGAGGTGAAACAGAGACTTTCTTTATTTAAAAACGAATAAAAGTTTTGTATGTCCAAAAAATTTGGGCATTGGGTATATGATATTCATTATAATAAAGGCTTTTGTATTTCCCAATGAATGAAAAACAAAACGATATTGCTGTTTATACTGACGTTTCGCTATTTAATGCTAATAGCTTTATCAAAGTATTATTAAACCGGAATTTACAAAATCTCAGCATATATATAACAAAGAGTTTCAAGTCTTCTTAGACGAGCACACTGTCTGATAACGGATGAGAAAGAAAAAGAAGAAGAAGAAATATCAAACATTACTGAAACTCTCAAGGAAAACAACGACCCAAGGGACTTCATCAACAAAATCAACACAGACATTAAGTGTGGCCGAAAACGCATTCCGAAAGCATGGACCTCGACAGTCGTCATTCCATATAGAGCAGAGACGTCAGATGATGTCAGAAGAGTACTCAATCAGCTCGACATTAGAGTTTTCTTCAAAACATCAGACACACTTCAAAGCAACCTTGTCCATATAAAAGACCAGATCCCTAAAGATTCTCTATCTAATTGTGTCTATAAAATAAATTGCTTGGAATGTGATGCGATATACATCGGACAAACTTCTCGAGAAATCAAAATCAGAAGAAATGAACACAGTATAGCATCTCTTCGACCACCGGGAAATACGATTGAACTGGAAAAACTTGAAAAATCATCAGTTATAGGTCTACATGTTATAGAATCAGGCCACAAAATTGATTTTGACAATATTGAAATAATCCAGAAAAGCTTCGGAAATCACAAAGAACGTCTAATATCAGAAGCACTTCATATCAAGTGGAATCAAAATCGCCTGAATAGGAATGATGGACTGAAACAGAATCTGACCTGGTCACAACACCTCCCTCCCTCACCAAGTGTCAAAATCAACATGAATGTGATGAGCAAGTTCACCATGTCAACACACACTACTTTTATAATTTTACACACCGATCAAATCCAACAATCTACACTTGGTTTTATTATCTTTAGCAATTTACCAACTTGACAACGAAACATGACCCCAGACAGACGAACGATGATCAAGTTAGTAAACTTTGTTTTGATACCATAACAGATGTACTAAGGTAGACCAATATTTGTAAGTCCGAGGTCAAATTTTGATCACAGCTCATTCAATTTTGTTTATTATACTTGTTAATACTTGTTTTATGAATGATGATTGGACAAAGTTTTTAAAAACAAGAAATGTTCCTTTTATATATAAACCTCTGTTATGTTAGTTTTGATTAATTTCCCTGAAGGAGTTCGGACCAGATTGCCGAATGAAACGTTGGAATTACTCATTTCAATATCGCTGAGATTTTACAAATATAATTTTTTACAAATGTCTACTTCTCACTCGGCGCCCTAATATTTTAGAACTGTTCTGTCAAATCTTGACGGCAGTTCGTTAGATGTACTATTACCTTTGTTATTTGGTTTAGTGATCTTCATTGGTATTTTAACGTCCTTTTAACTTGACCTAAGTCTGTTTTCTCACCCCTTAACTCTTTGTTATATATATGCTGAGATTTTGTAAATTCCGGTTTAATATTACTACTTTGATAAAGCTATTAGCAGTAAATAGCGAAATGTCAGTAAAAACAATATCGTTTTGTTTTTCATTCATTGGGAAATACAAAAGCCTTTATTATAATGAATAAAAGTTTTGTTTAAATTCATTGGTAATTAGACCCAAAAAATATTTACATATTAAGACAGTGTTTATGTTCTAACAGATGAATATTATTAAATCACGAAAAATACCCATTTATTCATAAGTGAAAATACAGTTTTTGTTCAGCGAAGAAATTTCTTTTTAAGTGCAAATTGTAAAGGGGATTGACTACCTAGTTCTTCTATCAAAATTGTAAACGTAAACCATACCCAAAAATAAAGTTATGTCTTTTACTTTTTGGCTCTAAAGTTCCCTTAGCGATACAGATGTTTACACATGTAGTATAGGTGTCAGTGTGGTGAGAGCTGCCTGTATGCTAGTCAAAATTGAAAGCAACAATTAACGTCACTGTTTACGTCCCGAATCGGGGTCGTCAGAAAAGATAAGTACAAAGCCTTATCTTGAGGAATTCACCAACCAATCACAGTAGACTTAACGTAGGAAGATATGATTCGTAGACCGAACTGTCTAAGAAACGGTCAGAAAGAGATGACAGAATAACCTTTAGCAAGAAAACAACCAATCAGAAGATGTTGCTTCTCTGCTAACAATAACGCTAATAATAATGTACATAAAAATCTATAAATATCTGTTGATTTTCTCAATAAACGATTTGTCGCCTGGCCCTTGTCTCCTGACGTTACGTCAGTACCACATATATTTTTTCTCACTCTTCATAAGACTTCGAACCTACTGGAAAATTAGGCGATCTCGTCGAAGAGTATCGAGTGCAGTGTAAATCTTCCGAGACCCTAGGTTCCACACAGAACACAATGAAACGACATTTTTCATATACCTAAGAGTTTAGGAAAAGTTATATTACTAAAATTAGTTCATGGTGCTAATTGCTCTCACCAGAGTAACATCGACTAACTATTAGAAAATATCCTCTAGCCAATTCTCGATGCATAGGATGAAGTACCTTATCACTGTGAGGATGCCATTCAGTAAATCAAAATCCTGCATTCTATGTTTTCCAACTTTTGTCGATATGCTCAGGAGACTCATGTCTGTTCAGCATTACTGGTACGTAGCTGTTTCCACATCAGAATTGGAGAATCCCACTGACTGCGGTTTCTTATTGAGGTTTCTTTCAGTGATGCAGTCTTAAATCTAGCGAAATGTTTGGTTCCACTCCACTCATCTGGCATTATAATTCTACCATTTGTTACTTATGACAGCTGCTGTAACGTCGTTAGAAAAAAAGAGACTTGGTGAAGGAGTGTTTATTCGGAATTTGACATCTCTATAAAACGAAGCTTCGCACACCTTATCTTCAAATCATCATTTGTACAGTTGTTCCGTGTTGTGCTACTTCTCACCCCCACACCCCTCCTTCGTACTGCGTTTGTTTGTCTTCTCTTCGTGTCTCCCATGTTTCGCTGCAACGCTGAATCATTACCTCGCTTTATCAGCAAATCCATTTCTACACTATTTGATATTTTTGTGTGTTGATGGACGTCCCTTTTTATATACTACTAACAAATGTTATCAGTAGTACACGTCACGCTACTACATTCAAATTCAAAGTAGCCTTATAGTTTAATTAGGAGAGTGAATTGATAAAAAATTTCAGATAGTATATACATAAGCATTTAGAAATATCCATGTTAATTTGATCTGGAGGCAACAAGTACACTTTTTTGTATTTAATGTTGCTGAATAGACTTTTTACAAGTTTGACCATGGACTGAAATCATCTAGAGAACCATCGAAAACTAGCAGGGAGTACTGGACAGGTGTTTCATCCTAGTTTTGGGACCATCGGCAGTACACACCCACCACAGTAGGTTCGAGCCCAGGACGTTCCGGTTACAAAGCAAGCTCTTATACCATTCAGCCACTGGGACCCGATTCAATGACCAATGAATTCTAACTTCTACCAATTCGTGATTTAGCGCAAATGGCACCAACTAATGTCATCGGTGGGACATCCATCATCACACACTTGACTGGTTGCACCTCACTGGTCATGACCTCTCACTAGAACTCACTGCAAGAAACTCCATCCTGTGGCAAGTCACTCACTAGCGAGCATCATATTAATTTTCAAGAGTTGATTTTTAAGGATTAAATTTATTCTTATGAATTGCTCAATAAAAATAATTTAAACATTTATTCCCCTTTAATGAATTTGAACAAAACAAGAACAACAGTTTTAGCAGAATAAAATGGTATCATCCTTTATTTCGTCGCTTTCTCGTCAGCTGCTTACAGGGCAAAAACATTATTAAATGTATCTGCATAAACGATTTCAACATACGTGCACAGAGTTCATTTTAAACAAAAATCAATCGATCAATATACGCATACACTAATAATATATATATATTCAATATTAAACACTATTCCGAACAATAATAATCATACACAATGAAAACTTTTCAGCATCTCACATTCGGATGAAAGAGAGATGAAAATATCCAGTTACCACGGCAAAGAACAACTGATAACTGCTTCTTTCGGAACGCATAAGTCAGGTTTTAGGCGCTTGAGAGCGAGAAGAATATGCTCTACAGAGAAACTAGAGGAAGAATTTGAGTTTCTTGAAGAGACACTGAAGAGCAATGGGTACTATCAAAGCTTCATAAACAAGTATGGAAGATCTGCAGTCGCAAATGAAAAACAAATCACAGTAGGAAAAAAAGCCAATCTACTTTGAGCTTGATTATAAAGGCGAAAACATTGCAGCGATGATCAACAGAGGGCTGAGCACATCAGTAGCCATAGTCTATCCTGCAGCTAAGCTCGTTCCCGTCTATCGAATAACTTGCTCTTTGATGCAATCAAAAATCGATAGATATCCTTCTCATGTTAACTCCAACTGTATATACAAATTTACATGTATCTGCGGGAGCAGTTACATTGGAAGGACAGAAAGAAGGGCATATCTACGATTTTCTGAACGTGTACCAAAAAGCTTACGTCTAAAGGGAACAAATGCTTTAAACAGTGCCATTGCCAGGCACCTCCTCGACACGAGTCATGAGGTGGACATCGAAAAGTCGTTCAAAATTATCAATAAGCAAACGAGCTCAATTAATTTCAAATTTGCTGAAGCCACTTCCATCAAGCGCCTAAAACCTGATTTGTGCGTTCAGAAAGAAGCAGTTGTCAGTCGTTCTTTGCCGTGGTAACTGGATATTTTCATCTCTCTTTCATCCGAATGTGAGATGCTGAAAAGTTTTCATTGTGTATGATTATTCATTATAATAAAGGTTTTTGTATTTCCCAATGAATGAAAAACA